CTTATTGCAAGCCACATCAAATTAAAAACTTAAAACCAGCTCAAAACAGGGTAAATTAATCCCTTATTTTTTCCCCTCCCTGGCAATTTTACCATTCTCTCTTCTCTTCCGCAGAAATGCAAATATCCCTTTCCCTTTAAGACAATATAAAACTAACATCAAAAGTAACATCAAGACAAAAAAAAATACTGTACAAAATAAGTGGTAAATGAATATGTACTGTATAGCTACAGCATTTTAAAAATTAATGAAAAAATATATATATATATTTAATTACTGATAATATTCCATTTAAAAAAGCCAATCATTTAAAAGCATCAGTGCCTGGGTTTATGATGCCAGAGGGCCACAGTTACGTACAACATCAAGCTGCCAAGCAACAGCGCCTTCGGCACTACTAAAATAGTCCTTGAATTTATCCCTCGTTTCCCTTGCACTCGCTTTATAATTGTTCGACCCCACTCTTCTCACATTTTGAAGACCAGTTTCATCTTCTCCTACAATAGTGCGCCATTCCCCCTCCTTAAATTCAGCATTATTGTAGCTGTCCACAAAACCGTTTGGCAGGTAATGAGCGTTGTCTGTTTGCATGAGGAAGTTGTGAAGACAAACTACAGCCTTTACAACCCTGTCAACAGTGTCAATATTAGCCCGGATTGGTCTTCTAAAAATACGCCACCTGGCAGCCATCACTCCAAACGTATTTTCTATCGTCCTTCGCCCTCGCGATATTCTATAATTCGCCACTTCCTCTTCCTCTGTTAGTTTAGTACCCCCATATGGTTTCACAAGCCAAGTCTTTAAGGGAAAAATGTCATCTCCCAAAAGTACATAAGGGAGAGTATATCCATTCACATCTGATGGCATTGGTACCTTTAAAACTCCCATATCAGCCTGCTTAAAAAAGGAAGACTGGCCAAAAATTGAGGCATCATTGTCCCGTCCATACGACCCAACGCTCACCCATATAAAGGAGTACTTCGCATCACAGATGCCCATTAGGACTGAACTGTGAAAGCCCTTGTAGTTGTAGTACATAGAACCTCCAAATT